ATCCTGCAATGCCAAAGCATGAAATGACTGCGTCAATGAAATCAATGTGGCCAATTCCGCACTTGCCATACCCCATTCTTTACCATACCTACAGATCACATGCTCGGAATAGCATGATTTAGATGACCAAGAATGTACAGAGGCACCATGCTTGGACTATGGGTCATGCCATATTTTATTGCCAGTGCTACTGTGTAGCGCTACCGCATATATCTTTCAACTCGATTGAGAAAACACGACTCTAATACAAATCGCTCCCCCTCCCCCCTCCCTACAGCTGCTATGATCCAAGGCCGCATGTGTACAGATCATCACCAAGACGTATTCGTGGCGAGGCTATCGTATCGAAATATAGACCGTAACTACTGCCCATCTAACGCCGACCTTTTGCTGTGTTGCAAAGCATGCAAAGCAAAGTATTGCTGCTAGCATCACTTTTTGTCATATCCGTGGTTGTCATGACTGTTGTGATGTAAATCAGATCAAATTTTGTGTTTGTCCTAGATGGTAGCACCATTAGCCTGTAAACAACATCGCCCTGGCAGGTCGGGACTATGTCTGTCTTGATCAATAAAAGTGAAGTATTCTATGTCGGAAGTACTTAAGTTGAATAAACGGTTGCTCCTGTCTTATCAAGGCGGTACACCGGCACGGAGAAACGTGGCCTGACTGGTCGGGCCTGGGAGGATAAATCTGCGGCGCACCCCGCCCCTCACCCGCACACTCAGCACGCGCTCCCGCGTGAGACGCCCACTCACCCGCACACCCAGCACGCGCTCCGCGTGAGACACCCACTCACCCGCACAACCAGCACGCGCTCCGCGTGAGACGCCCACTCACCGCACACCCAGCACGCGCTCCGCGTGAGACGCCCACTCACCCACACACCCAGCACGCGCTCCGCGTGAGACGCCCACTCACCCACACACCCAGCACGCGCTCTGCGTGAGACGCCCACTCAGCCGCACACCCAGCACGCGCTCCACGTGAGGCGCCCACTCACCCGCACACCCAGCACGCGCTCTGCGTGAGACGCCCACTCACCCGCACACCCAGCACGCGCTCCACGTGAGACGCCCACTCACCCGCACACCCAGCACGCGATCCGCGTGAGACGCCCACTCACCCGCACACCCAGCACGCGCTCTGCGTGAGACGCCCACTCAGCCGCACACCCAGCACGCGCTCCACGTGAGGCGCCCACTCACCCGCACACCCAGCACGCGCTCTGCGTGAGACGCCCACTCAGCCGCACACCCAGCACGCGCTCCACGTGAGGCGCCCACTCACCCACACACCCAGCACGCGCTCTGCGTGAGACGCTCACTCACCCGCACACCCAGCACGCGCTCCACGTGAGGCGCCCACTCACCCGCACACCCAGCACGCGCTCCACGTGAGACGCCCACTCACCCACACACCCAGCGCGCGCTCTGCGTGAGACGCCCACTCACCCACACACCCAGCACGCGCTCTGCGTGAGACGCCCACTCACCCACACACCCAGCACGCGCTCTGCGTGAGACGCCCACTCACCCGCACACCCAGCACGCGCTCCACGTGGGACGCCCACTCACCCGCACACCCAGCACGCGCTCTGCGTGGACGCCCCACTCACCCGCACATCCAGCACGCGCTCCAAGTGAGACGCACACTCACCCGCACACCCAGCACGCGCTCTGCGTGAGACGCCCATTCACCCGCATACCCAGCACGCGCTCTACGTGAGACGCCCACTCACCCGCCAGCTCAGCACGCGCTCTGCGTGGGATGAACACTCACCCCGCACACCCAGCACGCGCTCTGTGTGGACTCCCACTCGATTGGCGCGAACTCCTAGCCGTCGCCAGTGCTGTCCCGGCAAAAAACAATATCGCGAAGGGCTGCAACTAACGCTGTGACAACAATTATGATGTATCAGGAAATGTGATATACATTTTTATATATTTCTTGATTAATTGAAGATAACTTCAACAAAACAGCTTTAAAACTGCGCTAATCGGCCACAGGAAAAACACGGCCTATGCTCAAGCCACAAAATTTTTCCATGACAGACCATATAGACCATATAGACCATAGACCATATAGACCGTAGACCATACAGAAAACAGACCATATTCCGTCCATGCTGGGAATCATCCATCGCAGCCGTTTGCACTGTTGCGACGTGCTCGGGCCACGGCTTAATCGTTCCGCCGCATGGTCTAGCACACCCTGTCCCGGCAACGGATCACTTCACCAGTGAGCTGTTCCGAACAGCCCTCGAAGCGCCGCCAACGCGACGCGTCCGTCCGTCCGCTCCGGGCGTCGGCGTCACCTCTCGCCCCGCTCCGATGACCGAGTGGCTCTAGTATCGCTTAGAATGGCGGGCCGGCCTGGTGGGCAAACAAAGCCCCGAACGACCAGCTGGAACGACTCCGCCGTGCTCCAGTATTGTGTGCTGACGGTCTCGCAGGACATTACGGCACGGGGTAAATAACCCACTGCATGTTTTGGAGCGGGGCGAATGCGTTGCCCGGCGCTGCGGGTCGTGCTGTTGGAGTGCAGGCCATAAAGCTGTCCCCTGTCGCATATTGTGAGCTGTTGATGAGTGCGTTCGGGTGTCACGAACCCACCCCCCTTGATGGTTTGATGACGAGTGTGTTCAAGAGGCACAGACAAGGTGCAGAGTGGTGACTGCTGTCTGGTGCCATGCGCGCCGTCACCGAAGCGTCTGGGCAGGCGCCGTGACTAGTGGATTGGGCTGATCTTTGACACTTCTTGGGATAGGTTTTACACAGGAACGTTGAGTGGATTATGCTTTAGGCCCGACAATGGCCCAGGCATGGCCTGCCACGCCCATGGTGTCCTTACTTGTTCGAAGAAATGCACGGAATAAGGAAAAGGACGCCAGTTAGTTACGTAAATGGCATAGAATCATGCGACTTCTGGCATTCATAACGCGCTGCAGAATACCCTGTGTCACGAAACCAAGCTGAAAACAAACTGGATGCGAATGGTTCTGCTCGATTCATCCTCTCGCATAGAAGACAGCGGGGTATTCACCAAGCATGTCTTTCAAGCTGAAAAGGTTAGTTATTCAGGCGATCCGTACCAATAACCTGTCTGCGCCACGAAGGTAACGACACCTACCTAACCCTGCCACACTCATAAATATGGAGTGTAAAATACATTGTACGGGGTTGATTTTCACGAGGTTGAACCCTATAGCTTTGTGTTCGAGCAATGTCATTCCTACGAGTTGCTGAATGAGGCGAGGCCAAGTCTAAACAGCTTGGAAAAATATAAATGCAAAACCCAAAAGATCAGGCACGCTGCAACGCTTGAATGCAGAAGTACCTTCAAAACAGTGGAAATGAGTCATGCCTGGTAGTAAACAACATGACAACGGCTACATTTTGTTCTTAAATTGGACGAGTTTGATGATTCGCAACTCGATGCCAATATGAGGCAAGCAAGTAAATATGTTGCGGCAACAGAACCTCATGAAACCCGAGATGAAACGTCGTTTGTGGTGCAGAACTTCATTAAGTGCCAGCTCGCTCTGGATATTATCCAATACGGAGCGGTATTTTGTCCGAGAAACCGTGTTCTTATTTTTATAACCTTCCAAATACCCTTAACAAAATGTGCCCTACTTTTAGATACACATTGGTTTTGATCTGCAAAAGAAGTTTCGATGCTGTCATAGTCATGACTTCTTCAAATCTTATGTAGTCTCATTTGAAACAGCCAAAGGCTATCCATAACAAAATGATATAAAATATGGTTCAAAAGGGAGCATCCCACCTTTTTATGCTTTTCACTTATCGTTACGTCAGACATGTCCGATATGATGGCCAATACCAGTTTTCTCGAAATTCTTCTGAAAAGCTCATAATTCCGATTTGAAGTAGTTGCTCCGATGGAAGGAATCTCATTTGACACCCTGCTCGCCACGATGAATGCAATATTGTTTGCATAATTTTCCTTGCGTTTTCCAATGTGCTTGTTCTGCAACGTTTATCCTACACTAATTCATAGAAATGCTTGTGTGTGAAATGCTGCGAAAGCTTGACACACTACAATAGGCGGAAATGTATACAAACAAGAGGCTACCACCGCACAAATTCAACGAAGCGATGTACTATGGCTTTCAGTTCTCCCCTATGACATTTAGCGTAGTATTGTCTCTTTTCGAAGCGCGCTTTGGCTTCGGAAAACAGAGCAATGCATGGTCTACAGGACGCACTGGTTCAAACTTCAAACAATGTATTTCTCAGTGAATAACATTCACCACCCGCAGTGCCAATCACAACCATTGATTTATAATGACGTAATTTACGTCAGTAGAGGTGCGACTTTTAAGCCCACAAACCTGCAATATGCGGGTTAAAACAGCTCAAAGGTGGTACTTTGAGTCGGGAACAGCTGACAACGGCACTAAGCTGATATTGTCGCTGTCATGACACGGCAGTCACGACATTTGCGTTTATCACAGACTTGGGCTACACTCAGGGGCCATGAAGAAAGAAAATAAATATGGTGCTGTAGCAAAACGTTGACAGCTTGATTTGGTAAAAAAAGCTAAATTCAATCGCCTCATGTTGATGACATGTTGACATGTTGATGGTGTTGCTGAGGCACTACCCAGTGCTTTTATCAGACGCAACTGGGCATGATGTTTCATCAGAGCACGTTTTTTTTCTTCAAATATGCTCCAAAGGACGCACATATTTACGCCGCATCCAAACTACAACACAGACTCTATGAGATGACGGCTAGCTGTCGTTTTTCAGATGGCCATTTTGGGAATAATTAGCCTGCGTAAAATTATGCAAAATTAAGAAAGCTCTGATTTGAAAATGCTATGAACACAGAATAAGTGTAATGATCTGTATGAGAAATGAGCTTTGAAACTGTGGCAGCTGTCATTTGACCATCAAAGCTGCCATTTTGATTTCATTTTTCGGCCAGCTGGTGTTTCCTGAATAATCGTTTTAGAAGTGGGCAGTCTACAAAAAGCGATATAAGTGAATACATAATTAATTGCGAGAAATGACATCTACAGAACGAATAACAACGACCTTTGTGATGGTTAGATACGGCGCTTAAGGGCGCGCCGACCGGTGAGATCATTTTGCGTCTAGCGGACATTTGTAAGAATGGATTTACAACTGCTGAAATGATGCCAGTTGACCTTGCCAGCTGACGTTTTGTCAAACACATTTACGCCACGACTGCCTGTCGGTTATCTCCAAAATGGAGGACCAAGCATCAGCTGACCCGGAATTGTTTTGATTCACCTACCAGCGCCACTTAGTAGTTGAAACATACACATCGGTGTTCATAGCCTCGGTCCATGAACACCTTGCGCCTTTGACATCATATCTTTAGCACATGCGCAGATAAAAACCGAGTCCTCAGTTACAGAATAATGCTATGTTTCGATTATCATCATCAGTGTAAGCGATGTTGGAATGCTTGACAATTTAAAACAGGTCCAAAGCGTAAAATAAGGCTGATGATCTGTGCATGGGAGATCCAGGTTACTCAGCGATTTACGTGCAAGCTGCCATTATCCATTGCCTATGCAGCCGCCACATCGTGTATTGGCCGTTTAAGGCCACCATAAAAGTCATTTCATGTCGTGGTGGCCCAAGCTCTGTAGTGGCGATTATCAACATGGGTGAGAGCTTTTGAAAAGGAAAGTCAATACTGAACTGTTTATGAAAGGCAAAGGAGTGAATTTCCTGGTCACGCGCTGAACTCCTGAGGAACCCACAAAGTCCCCGCTAATGTCACATCTTTGTTAGCTCTGCTGCCCTAGATAGGTACTGTGACTCGACGTCGATATGTTTCTTCCTTTTTATCGCTTTTCTTCTTCGTTCTCCAATATTTTTGTGACATTGTTCCACTTTGGTCTAAATCACTGATGTTAATTTTCGATTTCGTCTAAGCCGCTTAGATAACTGCAGGCCAGTACCATGCCATTTCATTCTGGTACACATGTGCTCCAGCGAGCGACGCGTCCATTCCCCGGTGGGGCAGGAGAACAATGCTTGACCTGGGTCTCTGTTTCAGGTGTCGTGGGTGCGCCAGCGTGACCTGAAGATTCTGACGGTCGGCAAGTTCACCTACACGTCGGACCACAGGTTCACGGCCGTCCACGCTCCTGGGTCTGAGGAGTGGGTGCTGAAGATCACCAGTCCACGGAGGGAAGACTCGGGGGTGTACGAATGCCAGGTGTCTGTCGAGCCCACGATGAGCCAGCCGTTACAACTCGACGTAGTCGGTAAGCTTGCTGACCCGCCTGAGACTGTTTTTATTTGCCATATCCAAATGCGCGCCGAAGTCAGCTTTAATTTGGCTAATCCCGAACCAGACTCCACGGGCATCGCTATCATACCGACTAGGGATCCAAAGTGGGACAGCCCTGTGCATTTTCAGACTCACTCCGACTCCGACTCAAATACATCAAACCCAAACCCGAACCTGACATCGGTGGAGTCAAGTACGCTGGGAAATGTTCAAATGCTCCCCGCCAAACAGTATGCATGCAGTCTCAGGCTGCACAAATGTTTGTTGCAATTTTTTACGATGGTATGCTTTGTACTGCCTGGTAATGCAACATACCACAAATAAGATGTATTTAACTCTTGCTCTGATTCGCCGTTTTTTCATAACGCTGCCTGGAAAGGCGGCAGCTGGACGATGCGAACGCCCTGCCGCGTCCACGTTAATAAAAATACAGTCTGGCAAAAATGTTTCTAGGCTAATAACTGACCCCGAATGGCGTGTGAAGGTCAAATATAAAAAAATAAATTTTTCAGCTTTACAGGCTCATATATACGAGACTATGCCCTGTAGCCACACGAAGTCTGCACGGGCGTGTTCGTTGTTCAATCTTAAATGCAATTTATGTAATTTAATGCATGTTTACGGCATAATTAGGATGCATCGGTCTGTTAATAGAACAGCGTCGGCCGCCGCGCACATTCCGCGAAATCTTCAGTTGCCGCTCGTCGCCCGCACCGGTCGTAGATCACCATGCGGTGCTCCACAAAAATCGTCGCTGCCTCGAAATAAAAAAGGGTATAAACACATGCTTAGCAATATGACCGCGCAATGAATGCCCCACAAGTTACTAAAAATTTGGGCAATTGCACGACATGCCAAAGAGGTTTGCTTAGAAACCTTTAGGATGGGGGGGGGGGGGGGGGGGGGGGGGGGGGCGGAAGCGCATCGACCCCTTATCAGAGCAAGGCTTAACTTTGTTTGCTGTTGTGTGCGTTGTGTGTTTGACATTCTGTATCTCAGAGAGATTTTCGTGGGTCCCCATTACGCAATGGACTGCAGCAGCGTCCGTACTATCTAAATAGCCTCGCGCTGATGAACATCAATTCGGGCGAGACGCGCACCGTCCGGGAAAGAGAACACCACGCCATAAAAAATACTGGGATCCGTGCGCCAGCCCTCCGAGCGCCGGCCCGTCGCAATGAATCAGCGCGCGTAGAAAAGACCAGAGAAATTCCCTTGGACTGAAGCCAATTACATAAAACGCACGAAGCTGAGCCCTGACGTCGAGGATAATGACCAGGATGATTTACCGTCGGCTGCGGCGGGCAGCGAGCCGTCACTGTACGCCGCCGCTGCTCCCAGCACGACACGGCTCAGCATGGAGTTACGGCTGCACGGGTGAATGAAGAACTTGCGTGCAGCGCACGGTTACATGAGGTCTTTTGTGGAAGCCCTGGGTAGCGCAGTGCCGTGTCATTTGGTGTCATTGTGGTGATGGGCTATTGCTCCAGTACTGGAAAGGAGAAATGATGCACCCCGCATGGAAGGGCGCTGCACTGGAGGTGTTTGCAGCGCGCCTCTGCCCACGGGCGTCTCAATTCATTCAAGTCCGAAATCATCCAGTTTTTTTGCAAGTCGGTATTCACAAATGAACGACCCCATCACTCCTCAGTATACATGCTCCAAGCATTTTAAAAAGGTGTATTGTATGGCTCAATACAACATGCATCACCATGACATGCCTATTAATACCATTCTTCCTAGCACCACGCTGCAGGACGAGCATGAGCTTAAAGTTGCCTCATCCTGTTCATTACATTAAGTGAAGCTCATTCCCGTTATCCCACCCACTGGGCCGTACCGGGGTGTCGCAGCACGCCAGGCCGGTCGACTCGGACCCGGCCGGCTGTGGACGACCGAACACAAGCCGGACTTCAAACCACGGCTAGTGTCCATTGCAGGGATGCAGGCGGCGATGCGAGTCCTGGGAACGGCGTCTGACTCCACAGCGGTTCATGTTCCCACAGCCGTGGCTGTCCGTGACAACCGGCTCTCGACCCAGAGTCGCGGGCGGGGATGGCAGTCTCCGCGGACTGTGCCTGACTCCATCGCGTCCGTCACTCCAGAGTCGCAGGAGGTCATGACAGTCTCCCCCAACAATGACTGACTCCGCGTCTATCACCCCAACACCGCGCGTGGCGTTAGGCGGCCATAGGTGTTGTTCCTCTTTGTACCTAATCTCCTGCGTTCTCATTCCAGAGTCGCGGGAGGTGACAGCCGGTCCGCGGGAGTTGTACCTGATTACTGTTCTTCTCATTCCAAAGACGCGGACAATGAAAGCCTTTCCGCGGAAAATGTATCTGATTACCGTTCTTCTCATTCCCGAGCCGCAGGCGGTGATAGCCGGCCCGCGGGAGATGTATCTGGCTACTGTTGTTCTCATTTCAGAGTCTCGTCTCATTCCAGAGTTGTGGGCGGTGATAGCTGGTCCGTGAGAGATGTATCTGATCACTGTTGTTCTCATTCCAGAGTCACGGGCGGTGATAGCCGGTCTGCGGGAGCTGTATCTGATCACTGTTGTTCTCATTCCAGAGTCATGGGCGGTGATAGACAGTCCGTGGGAGATGCATCTGATCACTGTTCTTCTCATTCCAGAGTCGCGGGCGGTGATAGACGGTCCGCGGGAGCTGTACCTGAAGCGGGGAAGCAGCATCAACCTCACCTGCACGGTGATGGCGGCCCCCGAACCGCCAGAGCACATCTTCTGGCACATCAACAATATGGTGAGCTGATCATGGACACTAAACCAGGCCGCCGGCGCGCTAATGGCGAGCTAGGGCTTAGGCAGATCGTGGGTCAGAAACAAGAGAAGTGCGCAATCTAGTCGTCTCGAAATGTATATTAATATGAGAATTCCGCCCTGCCCTCCCCCTCCCACTCATTCACATCCAAGGAGGGTTGCAAAACGATAAAAGACAGAGCGAAATAACGCCAGTGTATGCTTCCAATAATATGACACAATTAAGGCATATCGCATCCCGGTATTTGATGGTACATTTGGCACCTTCCATTCACTAAGTTACAGGTATTTACCTCCACCTCTCCCGCTACCCCACCACCAGGAGCCATCCTCTATTGAATGACCACGGATTCAATACGGAGCCAATGCCGATTAACCTATCTTGGTTTTTCAAAGCACAAAATATATCTACGTCATGTAACGCTACCAAATGTCGGTGCGCGGAACCATAGGCCATTGATAACATCACAGGTCAGGAGTTAAACCAGGGCGCTTATGACGTCATGGACAAATCTTATGGTGTTTATCAGACCAGTTTCATCTCAGGTCGGGGTTTATTGAGCAATTGTGACGGTTTTGTCTTCAAACACAACTGCCTGCGTCCCATTCATTCGCAAAATGTACAGGGATTATGTGTCCATAAAATATACTAGCCATCCTTCAGCACATTTGTGGGCCTGGGTGTCCATAGCGTCATGTTGGATCACAAGCCCTAATCTATGTTCGGCCATAATGTACAGCGCTGCAAGGAGGTGCGTACTGTGGAATGTAATATCTCAGTGCCGGCTACACTGGATTGCACAGCGCGCACGCAGTTGCAACGCTACATATGCAAAGCACGATACACCTTTGATGGACCAGTTTATGTGAACAGTTCATAACTCGCTCGGTGGGTGTAACCAGGGGTAAAAAGCTTACGTCTGTCTCCCAAAAAACACATCTGGTCTGATCTGTCTCCATAACCTTCGCCTGATTCGCCGTTTTCATAACGCGGATTGATAGAGGGGGGGGGGGGCGGGTTAATGGACCCCCCACCCCCTGGAGTTTTAAACTAAAAAAGATGGAGCATTGCGGAAACAAAAACTGGTCCGCAAAGATACGGCTTTGCGGACCAGTGGATTGGTCTCAATGAGATCTTGCAATTATTACTAGCCTTGATGCGGTTGGGTTAGCAATCGACCCCGTTATGACAGATTAAGGACCAAATTTTCGCCGTGCAGTGTTCCTCAAAAACCGCCACTGCTCCAGGACCAGAAAAGCGAAGAAGGATGAGAGCTAAGATGGTTTACGGCCAGAAAAACAAAGCCGGATTGAAAATTTGCAGCCTACTGATTTTTGTGTTCAAGCACATTCTACCTACCAAAATCTACTTGGAAAATTAAACGACATTTCCGTCCTGTCAGCCAATAAGCCTGTGATAATCCAGGATTTCCTATAATTTACGCCACCAAAGAAGTGAGCGTGCCAGATCCCTTCCCTTACCTCATATACACAATACTCCCATAGTGTATTGGTATTGTGTGCTCTATCTTAACAATTTCACATAATTTCTTGCGTGAATTAAAATACGATGCAACCACACATGGCATGGCTTACTTTTCATTGGACACTAACTCAATCTACACAGTGGACAAGCAATCACCCAGCCTACAAGCTATAACAAGGATGTTAGCAAGATGTTAGGCTTGAGGACATTACGAATCTTGCACAAAATGACAGTTCCTGCCCCATGTTTAGGGCTCTGTTTTATCTGACAACTATCTAATAACTTGCTCAATATATGATATATCACAAAATTTAGAACACCTGAACACAACCACACAATTTCCCGAAACTTGAACACAAAAGTACTCCTGAAATTAGCACCCCAAGTTCTTTTTTCAGGGTGTTTTTCAAGAGCATTTTCAAATATACATACCTGACAACATCAAACGCATATTTCGAAGATGTGTGATTGGAAACAGCTTTAGGTTTCTGGCATCAGTGTTTCCTGATTGGCAAAGCTTGACAACGTTGTCAAAGGGATGTGTCGGCCGGCCTGAATCTTGCATTAACAGCGGCACTCCCTTCCTTCACTTATGACACTTAATGCCAGCAAGCGAACTTTACAAGTTGAAATCTCACTGGACTTACAACACTTTGCATTCACATGATGCTGAGCTTTTTCCCAAAGCGTACATAAACCAATGTCTCACTGGAATTTTGTTCAGGCGCTGTCACAACGAAATGTTTTGCAATATGGCAAATTTCTGGTGAGTTTGACAAAAATAACGTAAGTTTAGCCCCCAATGATTCTGTCAACGTACTGAGGCCTGATGCTGAAATTCCCCCATCAGGTGTGAGTTGTAGTTAGTTGAACATCTTCACGTAATAAAATATTATAGTCTAGATGTTCAGTACCTTGTCCCATTCACATCATACACACTACACATTTTGCTGGATAGGCACCTATGCAAAATTAGGCACGCTCTATCTACATGCCACAATCCAGACATGTAGTTGGCTAGCTTCTTCTCACAATTCACACCACTCACCTACCGAATATTACATTCAAAATTACATATACTCACCAGCTCCTCACAATCCCTCTGGTAAAGCACTCACCGGGACAAGAACGCCAATGATCGACAATGCTCAACGCTGTAATGGCGCATTTCAAGGCGAACCGCGCAACTCGGACAGGAACGAAGCTATGCAAACGATAATAATGACGTCATTAGTATTTAAATCACCGTTGCTGCACAATGTCGTTTCCTGCCAAGCAGAAATAAATTCAAAGTTGCATTAATGAATCAAATAACTTATTTGACTTCCACAATAAAAAAGTCCATGCCCAAAATTAGCTTGACGGTTAAATAACGTCATATACGGTTCATAAGATGAGTTTACGGCCGCGTTCGATCTATCGTTAGCACATTTACCAGCACCAATCACGGTTCAGTATTCTCGCTATGTCATATCACGTGACCGCAAAGTCACGTGGTCTGTGACATCACGCGCTGGCCGACAATGATGCCATGATTTTTTGTCAGCTGTCAAGCATGGAGGGAAAGCACTACCAGATTAAAAGTCACTCTGAAAAAGAACCACGAGTTTGATTTGGTAGCTTTGGGCCGGCGAGTGCGTTAGCTGGAATGGAGGCACTTGTTTCTAATTTGGGGCAATGCGACGTTGCGTAGATAAGAAGGGAATGGGACTGCCAAGAACAACCATGAAGCGGTGAGTATGCTTGATGTGGTCGCGTTCCCCAGAAAGTTAATAGTGTTAGAGTAACCGTAAAATATGGAGAACAGGAACGAAGCGTCTCGCCTCTCGAACATGACCTTCGTCAGTACAAGTGGGAGTTCAATGAAAAAATGGCTTTATTCCAGTGCAAGTAGTAATGGAAGGCTGCTAGATCTTTTCCACAAAAACTACGGGAAAATTTCTACTGAAAAGGAATGAATTGAAAAGAGATGGGAATGGGAAGAACACTCAAGTTACGGATGTGATAAATGATGGAAATACCGTGACAGGAGCCGCACTTCCACACGCCAATTTAAAGGTAGTCTGTCATGGTCGGCAGTAAGCCAGAGCCGTGTGAGGTCTGAAAAGTTAAAAGGCGAGGGAAAAGGAAGGTAAGGTTAACAAACTTTCCCCCCGGCCCGCACATCGAACACTCAGTTAGCACGCGTGACGTCACGCATTCCAGCTGACAATCGTGCTGACGACAGATCAAACGGGAGCCCACGTCTTCAGTGAGGGGTTAATTTCGTGTTCTAAGGAGGCAGCGCGGTAGGACGAGAGCCTATTGAAAACTGAACTAAAACTACCCTTCAAAAATTGGGGGATGGCGGAGTGTGCGCACAAATTGCCCAAAAACTGTTTCCCCATACGCCAGTGTTGAAAAAGGTCTTGACCACTGAAAGACATTTCCCTCTTTCAGTGTTGTAATCTTCTAATTTTATTGCGATCGGCATTTCGTGAAATAATCTGTCAACTAGCATTTTGGGCAATGAGAGCGCTTTAGCCTTATTTTAAGAATGGCAGGCATTGATATGAATCTCCCACGCCCGTGGGCGAGGGGAGGGGGGGGGGGGGCTTTTTTGACCTCTGTATGGCGGCCTGATGTTAAAACTCTACCATGAGGCACGAATCACAGCGAACTAAACACCTTCACAAAATGAAAGGGAATGTTAAGAATCTAGATATGTTCAGTCCCATGCTCCATTCACAACCATAGACACTATACATATTGTTGGATAGGATAGGACCTACGCAAATTTGGATATACTACATACCTCGAAATGGTATGAAGCCAGCTGCTGCTTACTTTGACTGGCCTCCAGCGCCATAAATTGTTTTTTTCTTTGCCAAACAGGCAGACTTACATGCTAAGACTTCATGATGCTTTTAAGATATCGATCCCTACCATTCAAGTTACATTTTCCATACTCACATAGATATTTACCACCAGATGAAGTAGAACATTGAGCCATGGCAAGTTACACCTTGCGAATGCCACATTCAAATATGCAAAAAAAAACAACTTAAAAAAACTTAGCAGTTGCTCACATCCATCCCCTTTGGCAAAACAAATCGTGATACGAACCCCGATGACTGGCAATGCTCAATGAGGTGATGACGCATTTCAAGGCAAACCGCGCCACTCTAACACAACGAGGTTATGCGCCAAGGCCATAGTGCTGCCATTCATTTTTACATTACTATTACTGCAACAAACCGTTTTCTGATGGCCGGAGTAGGATATTTAAGTATATAATAATGAATTTAGCTAATCTGACTCCCCCAATAAACAAAGCTGATGGCAAGACTTGGTTTGATGATTACAAGACGTCATACCGGGTTTATATGGTGAGTTTATGTCTTCAGTGAGCGCTCAGTCTTTTACACCGAGGAGATAAGGCAGCAAGGAAGTGGAACATATTAGAAACTGAACTGAGGTGACCTCTCAAAAATGGGCAGGCAGTGGAGAGTGCTCACAAAGCTCCCACAAATTCCCCACAAATTGCCTCGCTGCGCAGCAGCGTTGAAAACGGTCAGGTCACAAAACCTTATTTCCCTCTTTCAGGCATGAAATGCACGCAATCTCATCGCAATGTGGGGGTAGGGGTAGTGGACCAGAAAGAACCTTTTTAATCAGGGGGTTTATTCTGTCGCTACAGTAAACACAGTTTTTGTCTTCCGAGAACCTTTTAGGCTGTGGGTTCTATTTTGATGCAATGGGGCCCTTTTTGATGGTTTAGAATTCTTACGGGCATCTCAAACCGCAAAAAGCGCTGGGCGCCAGGGGACCTCAATCACCTCCAGGAAACGGGGATGGGGGGGGGGGCATGTCCCCAACCATCCCCTTGACTATGGCACTGGCCCCTGCACAAGCCTATGACGCTGTTTGTCCGTTTTACTCGCAAGCTGCAGTTCCCAATCAGCTTTCATTAAGCTAAAACGCTTTTAAGCATTTGACTGCGTGACATTATTTTGGCGTGACTCAGAATGACGCAGCGGATTAACCTGATCTGCTATTAGCTCAGTGCACAAATGTGACTCACTAGCAGTACGAAATTGTAACGCCGCCGGCAAGGTCATGAAAGAAGATGGAGCTTAAGTTTTTACAAGTGGTCAGCTTTTGGAATCATTGTGATCTGACCTAGAGTGGTATAACCTAAATCAGCCGTTTCGACACGATGCTTGTTAGTAAGATGCCACTGGTTGCCTGCTGTCCCATAGAATAATGACATGAAGATCGGGCAGGTTTGGAGATCAACAATGCTATTCGTTAAGCCATTGGCGTTGTGCTAGTTTGAACTAACCTGAGATAACTTTGACTTTTCCTCTGGTGCAAGGCGCTTTGGACATTTCTTGACGGTGGCTCAAAAGCTGGCGCCCCATGTAATGCTGGTGACCTTCACTCCCGAGTTGGACCAAAACATTAACAACTGAAGCGTACGCCAAACGCTGCCAGTAAGTGGCTGGATAAGCTCCCTGTTTGTCGCCATTAACGTAATTTTCACAGCCTGACTACCTAGACTTGGACCATAATTCCTAATCCGGATGGCAGGTGGCACCTGCCACCAGCTACCACAGCAGCCAGTGGCAGCGTCTACAGGCCCTTAACAAACCTGGCACAGCTGGAAGCGTCGGGTCGCTGCCGTGGCGCCCTGCTCAGTCGAGTTGCCGCAGTCCCACGCGTTTTCACCGGACATGACGCTCCAACACGTATGTTGATGGTATTATGAAGCGCCGGGGTTAAACCGTGACGTTTCCCAGGTGATCAAGTACACGGAGCGGGGCGGTATTTACGTGGTGACCAACCGGCGGGCCCGCACGTCCACCCTCCTCGTGGCGAGGGCCACCAGCCGGGACTCGGGAAACTACTCGTGTCGGCCGTCGATGGCCCACATGGACACAGTACTCGTCCACATACTGGACGGTAAGTGGGGACGGTGCTTATCCGCATACTGGACAGGAAGTGGAGATAACGTTCGTCCACGTACTGGACGGCAAGTGGAGACCGTGCTTATCCGCATACTGGACAGTAAGTGGGGACTATGTTCGTTCACATACTGGACAGTGAGTGCAGGCAGCACCGTCTGCATACCGGATAGTGAGAAAGCGCAGTGCTTGTCCATATACTGGACGGCGAGTTATCCCTAGGGCAGGTCTTCTTATCAAAGATGTTGGTAGGGTTCATGAAAAAATTCTGGTAACAAGGTTCTTCTTTATATATATATATATATATATATATATATATATATATATACATCTTTCAGACTAAAGCCTTTGATGGTTGGATGTGTACAGTTGTTGGAGCCATCATTTAATTTCGTGGTGTCGTATGCGACACCCTGAATCTGATCTGATGTTTGACTGAAGCCATAGTTACCTTTCATGATTTCAAAACTACGTTCCGTGTGTTCATAAGCCCGCTGCACTAGCTCACGATCACGTCACGTGGACCTGCACGGCACAGACCCATAACATTCCTCTTTGGATACATAACCCGCATTCCTTGGGTACCATCGTAATGACAAACCACCTCATCGGTTCCTTGCAGTTTTCCATTAAAGCACGCGATGGTGAGCAGTTTCTAAAGATGCGCTGCTCTAGCTGTGACGCTCCCTGCCCTTGACTCCCCCTCCCTATGTGTGCAGAGGAGGCCGTATCTCTACCGTGTACAGAGCAAGCCGTATCTCTAGCGTGTAGAGAGGAGACCGCATCTGTGGCGTGTACAGATAGGCCGTATCTCTGGCGTGCGCAGAGGAGGCCGTATCTCTGGCGTGTGCAGAGAAGGCCGTATCTCTGGCGTGTGCAGAGAAGGTCGTATCTCTAGCGTATACGGAGGAGGCCGCATCCGTGGTGTGTTCTGAAGAGGCCGTATCTCTGGCGTGCGCAGAGGAGGCCGTATCTCTAGCGTGTACAGAGGAGGTCGTATCTCTGGCGTGCGCAGAGGAGTCCGTATCTCTAGCGTGTACAGAGGAGGCCGTATCTCTGGCGCGCGCAGAGGAGGCCGCATGTCGGCGTCGCCTGCGCCCATGGCTCCAGCAGCTTCTCTGACCACTCATGACGCTGTTTCCAGGCGAACACCCAGCGGCGATGCAGCACGGCAACTCGAACATCCGGTGCTGCGTGTCGCTGCTGCACCGAACAGTTTTTCTGTTGTTGCTGGCTGTGATGCGGTAGTGGTCGGCTGAGCTGACGTTGTGCGCGGAGTGCGTCTTCGTGACGAAGAACGTGACGGTGTTGAACGGTGCGTGGACGTTGTCTGTTCGTCGGGGGCTGAATAAACGTTCAGGTTTTTGGTTGGTGCCATTGTTCGCGTACTGGGGATGTTTCATTATGGATGTTAAGATGTGGTACCGAAACGGACGACGGAAGTTTAATATGACAATGCTGAAATTGGCCAAATACAGTACCGGAAACTGTCTGCTTTAGTGGAGGAAAAGAGACAAGGCACGCGAAAACCGCGGAGGTATGGAACAAGTAAACCAACACTGAGAGTTGGCTTAACTAGACTACATGCATCATTTGAAGGGTGTGCACGCAACGAACTGTATGAGGGATGATTCCTTTCAGGCTCGTTTAAAGAAAGGCGTTGGTGATCAGAAAGCATCAAAATGTGTGTTGTTACGACCTGGAAAATAAACATGTTTGCGAGTCCAGACAAGCGTACCGAATTCACACGAAGGTACAAACACTATGAAAGTAAAATCAAGAGCACGGCGTGCAACATTTATACAAATCCTCAACAAAGCTATTCCACAAAGAATACAGGCTATAAGCCGTTTAAACTGCGCGGGGTTCAAGCACGTGTTCCATGTACGGCTCGTTTGTTGGATTCAAACACCCTGGATAGGTTTTCACCTATGAAATACATGCAAGGCCTGGCGAGCGTGCCCTTTCACTCTCAGTCATTTCGCATGCGTCAACTCGGCCGCGTGCTAACATTCCATACGTCGTCAATTCGCTCATCCTCAGATGTTCCATACCACCTGAATCACCCATCCCAGCCATTCTGCACCAGCTCCGGCGCACCCGTCCCCAGCCATTTCACACCAACCCCGGCGCACCCGTCCCCAGCCATTTCACACCAGCCCAGGCGCACCCGTCCCCAGCCATTTCACACCAGCGCCGGCGCGCCCGTCCTTAGCCACGTCACTGTCACTGTTTCCGGACGCCGCGGGAGGTGGACACGACTCACTCCGCTGCCGGCAGACCAGCTGATCGGCCGGCCGTCAACGGCAGCAAAACCGGGCCTCAGAGCACGCCACGCCCCCCTCCTCAGAGGAGGATACAGCTGCTACGTCGCGGGGGGGGGGCAGCCGGCCCTCAGAGGAAGCCACGACCCCTCAAATGGCTACATCTGCTACCTCGCGGGAGGGGGGTGGGTGGGGTGGCGGCGGCCGGTTCTCAGAGGGCGCCCCCCCCCCTCAGAGAAGGCTACAGCTGCTGCCTCGCGGGGGAGGCGGCCGGTCTTCAGGGGGCGCCACGCCTTCCCCCCTCAGAGGAGACCAAAGCTGCTACCTCGCGGATAGGGGGGGGGGGGGGCGGTGGCAGTCTTTAAAGGGTGCCACGCCTCCCCTCCCCACAGGAAGCGCTCAGCTGGCGCCGCTCCTGGCGCCGCTCGTGGTCGGTCCCCACGACCCCAGCGCCGCTCAGGTCGGCTGGGGCGGGGAGGCCGTCGTGCGGAGTAAGGTGTCGCATTCTGGTCTGATCTGAGAGGAAAATATCACCCCAAGTGAAGTAATGTTTCACTGCTTCTTCATTATTTCCCGCCATGATTGCTCAGTCTTAAACGCTGAAATCCGGCAAATGGATGGGTAGTTAGCGCTAAACTCAGAATTTGCATAATTATGCAACTCATTCCAAATAACGTAAGACAGATTTCTCATTTTTATGTCGTAGCCTTCTCCCACATTTCACGGGTTAGTGGCCAGGTGGGCCAGCCTTGGTGCCCTCAGGACCCAGTCATAGTACAGACACACGGAAGGCATTTTTAGACTCCCTTCGTTCTGCTAACGGGCGTAAACGGAGTTTTCGATGCAGGCTCTAAAGGTCTCTAGCCGGATCGGAATGATACAGTCTTTTATAGTGTTTGCGTGTGCCGACTGGGTGCCCAATAATAACTCCATGACGCAGGAGAAAGCGCCGTTTCTACGGAACACGCTGAAAATAACCCACGAACCGGACCCCGCCCAACTCTAAGAATAAAACATCGACAGGTCTTTAACAGTTTTAGCAAGCAAAGTGCCTTCGGCTAAAAATATTGGAGCATTTCTTTAAAACCCCAATCACAGTCAACTTTCGCAGAAACAGCATGCATCCAATAGCCTGGTCTTTGCCCGACGCGAGCCTTTCCCACCGGCGGGGGTGTCGGAAGAGGAAGGGAGGCTGAGGTAGCGGCCGTCATCCCTCCCCCCTAATCCGATGTTGCGGCCGACCGGTCCAAAAGTCCAGAAGGCGTCGAGGGCAAAGGTCAGGCCAACGGGTACGTCGTGATGATTCCGCGAAAGTGCATCGCTGCTGGGCTTATAACGCTGTGCCCCTGCATAGAAAGAGGTACTTGCAAGCCACCTTCTCCTCCCAGCCCTGAAGGATCTACGCCGCCACCGCTTCCCCTCCAGCCCACAGCAGCAGCCTGACGAGGCGCGCGTCGCGGCCCGGCCCAGTCGGCAGTTTGTCGCGTGTCACCAGTATTATGTTACCCGGACCCCGGCGGCTGCTGACGGTGGCAGGCCGCGGCCAGGCGGTCCGACGTCAACAAGCTAACTCGATAACCCACGCCAAGCGGTTCACTGCCACGCAGTTGTGGTAGTTAAGAGCGCAGTGTCGCCTTTTTGGTCGATATTAGACTCTAGACGTGTATACCTAGATTAGGCGCATCCGATACAGCCTGCACGGCCAGTTCCCTCTCAAACTTGCCTTCAAGAGCTCTTTTTTACATTTCGATTAGTAATTTCTACAGAGGTCTTCTATCAGACTCCTTGGTTGAAACCATCAAGAGCATATTCTATTCAAGAACATTGCATTGGTTGCACCTATCTGCGTCTTAACTATCTTATCAATAACCTCTCTGATCAAATTGCTTTAGCAATAAACGGCACCTAACATACCGAGCTGTATTTCGCACAAAAATTCGTCATTCATTTTATTGCAATCCAGCTCAATCCATCTAGCCTCAGGCCTGAGGGCTTAGGATGAATTGCAATTTCCTCAGCAGCGTCAGAGCCTAACCACGACGAAATGCGACGAAATGGTTGGAGGTTCTCACTCATCTGGCACGTGGCCAGCCACCGGCTGTGTCACCGCCTGGTGGCTGTCATGCTGCGGATGAGGCGGTGGTGCTGGCGCGCTTTGCAGCATTGTTTCGGCTTGTCAGATCACTTAATTTTGCTTTGGGTAATTTGGGTGCCCATCCAAACATCATGAGGGGTTTTTATCAACACTTCGCGCTCGTTGGATCCCTGTGATATGCACCAGCTGTGGCACTGTTGTGAAAAAATCTTTGTGAAAGCCGCCAGCTATGACATTTTTGCTTCAGGCAGCGGAGTCGCCAGGCCAGTGGAGATCGGTTCTACAGCACATCTGGCAGGAAACTGTGATTCGCTCTGTCGCTGATGTTCTGACCTCCGATACCCTAGTGTTCGTGGTATTCACAAGCACATTCGGGAGCGAGCACGTTCTGTTCGATCGGCGACCTGCATTTCGGCTGCATTTCGCGTGCAAGGTTTGACAGCTTCCTTGGTCATAAAGTTTGTCATGATGTGTGGAGGTGTCGTGTCGCATGTCGAAGCAAGTTATCTCGATCGTATGGAATCAGGCTTCGACGTACAGCGCGAAGAGGACCGTTTTCTTACGACGCAAAACATGTTAAAATATGTTGAATTGGCGATCTTATGGCCACTGAATTGGTGACGTCATGGCCTATTGGGACATGTTCATGCGGTCCGGCAACAGATGACAAACTGAAAACAAAATTCAAAATGAAGCACGAAATTGGAACTCGAAGGGATTGCTCGTGTTCCCTGTCTTTTCCTTTTTGATCTGGGTTGTCACCAACCACACACTTATCGCACACTGAATTAGGTCCATACAGCGGCGATATGAAATGGCAACACAAAATTTGCCCTTCTTGAGTCTATTCACGTAATAAATTCAAGTAAAAGATAAGTCCCCTATCTATCCCACCTAGCCGCACTTATCCCACGCTCTTCGTTAGGGATAAGTTTCTCACCGCAAATTTCCTTTGCACGAGACCGTTAAAAGTAATGTACTCAGTGAAGCAGCGCGTCAAAGACATTGCTGGGTTAGATACAGGTGCCTGATGATCACTTTCCATCAACATTTAAACAATTATTTAGCCCGATTTATGTTATCCAGTTTTAAGCCCGATGGAGCCACGGTCCGCGTATTGCTTTGTCCTGGTTTATCTGTACTATCAACACAATCACGAAGTGAACAGCGTAGTGGCTTCTGGATACGGATCTTTCAATGTTTCTCATGAAAAATGAAGAAACTCTCTGTGTAGCAGGGCATATGCGACTCATGCTATTCGAGGCACAACTATGGCAGCATGCAGCGGCAGCCTTCCTTTTGTCATGTGTTTTTTGCATGAAAACTTTTTCCTTGAGAGCCGAAGCCTGTGTTAGCGCACGTCAGCGAAGGCGTTACGAAACTACACAACTATAAATCTCACGAAGTAAGAAACATCAAAATCCGCGGATCGAATATATCTTTTGAATAACTAAAACATCAACGTCACCAAGCTTCTGCATTATCATGCAAATGCAGGACGGTTCATTCGTTGCTGTCAAATCCCGGGCATGCCGACACTGGCGCTTTATTGGCTCTAATCAATACGGGATTGCTAATTTACGCTGCAAGCGCGGCTTGTCACATCTGAATTACTAGTATAATATCAAAATCCTGTTGTCTGGTTTGGCCATCCAATGCAGCAGCCGGCTGGCACACGTACGCAGTCGTCTTCTCTCTCCCTTTTGAGCTGGCATGCTGTTGGCAGCGCTCCGGGTTCGTCAGCGCTGGAGTGGGCGGTTGCCAGCAAAGGGAAAGGCCAGATGCAGAGCCGGACGAGAAAAGACAGTAAAAAGGGTGTGGAGACACCGCCAGGAGATGGGCAGGCACCCAGCATAAAACTGGCACATATCAGGATTTCTGGCTCGTAACTTCTCGGTTAACAATGCCACTATGAACAAATGGCCGCAGGGGGAGAAAAAAGCAAGTTTGTAGGACGCTACCAAAGGCTTCGAGTGCGTGGTGCTGGTGCGAGGGACGCGAGCGAACGTACATGACATCCTCAGTTACACAGCAGAGAGACGAACATAATTCACGTCGATAGTGGACCGCGATGGAGTTCATCTTGCGTATGTGGACTATATGGGTGGAATGTGCCTCAGCTGGGCTTTTG